GCAACCTCCATTTCCTGGGTTCAAGAGATTCTCTTGCCTTAGCCTCCTGATTAGCTGGGATTACAGGCGTGTGCCACCGTGCCTAGCCAATTTTTGTATTTTTAGTAGAGACGGGGTTTCACCATGTTGGTCAGGTTGGTGTCGAACTCCTGACCTCGTGATCTGCCCGCTTCAGCCTCCCAAAGTTCTGGGATTATAGGCACGAGTCACTGTGCCCAGCTAACCAATGAGTCTTTTTAGGCTTGAGTTACTGTTATTTCACTCATCAGGACATCACCTTCAGATGTCCTGATGGAGGTTAAAAAAAACACAACCTTTTTAGTGTGGGCAACTGCACCTGTCACCTCTGGCCCAAGAGGTGACAGAGCAGGGTCATAAGGACTGTGGCACTAGGCAGAGACCCAATAAGTCTTGGCTAAAAAGACAGCACTCATTTCCTGATCAAAGTCCTTAACCTCCCCTGGGAATGAAGGATGCCGGCCATGGTCCACCGTTTACACAGGTAAGTACACAACCCTTCTACTTTCTGTCCTCCCCAAATTAGGTTTGTTCTTGGTATCATAGGCTCTGGCTGAATGATGGCAAATATATGTCACAAATAATCCAGACAGCAAATAATGCATTCATGAGTAGGAAGGGACACATAATTTTGGCTGTCTCATTTATTTCTGTTAAACTTAAGCCAACTTTGTGTTTCTAGTACCTTTTGCCTTTATGTTATTCCTAAATAAATGAGGGTTGATTTCTATCGTATGAAGCCAACTCGTCCCCAAAAGGTACATGTGCCCTACCTTCCTTGACCTCACCAAGTGCCCTCCACCCTCAGGCCCTGTACTTGCTGTTCCCAACCTGGAACCCTCTTCCTCAGATGTGTCTCTGTATATCACTCTCCACTCATTCAAGCCTCAGCTGAAATGGCACCTGCTCTCCAGGCTGCCTTGGGCTGCTTACAGGACACTGCCCTCACCATCCAGTCCATGACAGCATTCTGCCATCATGGATATTCTGCTGTTCTTTGCAGCAATCCTTGCTTCCCAATATCTCTGATTCATTTGCAGGGTTATTTTTGACTTTCTGGGAAAGAAAAGTACATGAAGGCAAGGACTTGATCGAATTTTTGTCTACAATGAAATTTCCATGGCTCAGCTCATAAGAGAAGCCCGCGAGTTATGTGGTCAACAATGGATGTGTATATAGATGAAAACTGACATTTATTCAGAATTCTCTTATGCTACAACATATTCTAAAAACTTGGCATAGAGTATCCATCATCATTACAAATTTTAGTATGGTATCACTTATGCCCATTTCACAAAAGAGAGACAGAAATCCTAGATAAACCAGCATTGTAACTTGCCCAAAGACATGGCATGACTGCACATGGCCTCCAGGATCTAAGCCCATATCTGCATGAGCCTAACTAAATCCCATCACCGCCCACTGCCCAGCACTGCCTGCCCAGGAAGTCAGTTACTCCACTAACTCACAGCATCCTTTCAATCAGTGGGAGGGAAACCTTAAAATGCTACCAAAGTGATAAACAAATATTAATTCATAGGTTTCTACTACGGTGAATTTGTAAACTTGGGTTAATTTCTTATTTTTAAAACACTGAAACTTTCAGTGGCTAACAAATACACGAAAAATAGCTCAACATCACTGATCATTAGAGAAATGCAAATCAAAACCACAATGAAATATTATCTCACACCAGTTAGAATGGCGATTATTAAAAAGGTAAGAAACAACGGATACTGGCAAGGTTGCAGGGAAGTTGGAATGCTTTCACATTGTTGGTAGAAATGTAAATTAGTTCAACCATTGTGCAAGACGGAGTGACAAGTTGTCAGAGATCTGGAACTGGAAATACCATTTGCTCCAGTAAACCCATTACTAGGTATATACCCAAAGAAATATAAATCATTCTGGCATAAAGATGCATGCATGTGAATGTTCATAGTAGCACTATCCACAATAGCAAAGACATGGAATTAAGCCAAATACCCATCAATGATAGACTGGATAAAGAAAATGTGGCATGTATACATCATGGAATACTATGCAGTTATAAAAGGGAAGGAGAGTATGTCTTTTGCAGGGACAACGATGAAGCTGGAAGACACTATCCTCAGCAACTAACACAGGAACAGAAAAGCAAGTATTGCATGTTCTCACTTATAAGTGGGAGGTTAACAATGAGAATACATGGACACACGGAGGAAAACAACACTTACTGGGGCCTGTTGTGGGAAGG